CCAGCATGAATAAAGCTAACCTGAACTGATTGTTAATTAATGTGAGATGACACGTGCCAACCAGTGAAGTTAGACCGAGAGCTTGTAATCCAGTTTTTTAAATTAATTTCTTTTGATGCGTTTAAGTATGAAGAAGGCTTTTGGTTAAGTTTGGGCTTTAGATCGTAAAGATGAACTATTCCTATCGTTTTGAATTACATACCAAACAATGATAGAGAAACAGTTCCTACTTTGTGTCCTACAGAATCAAGGAATCAGTCTTTCGGCCGGCCACCCGTCGCCTTGTCAAATAAAGAAATATTCGAAATTCGACAACGGGCCAGTTCCCAAGGCAACTTTTGCGTTCAGTTGATGGGAAGGCTGTTTACGATTGATGAACGAATACGAAAGGACAGAAATGTACATTACGGGTGTAGATGGGAGAGATCCTATATGCAAATATAGACTGAACTATATTAAAGATATGGCTAACAAAATGTTTATCACTGAAACAACTGACAAGTCTTTTTGGAAAAAATGCATTTCGTCTATGAACAAAATTAATAGAAATATAAGGACATACTATAAAAATAAATTTCAATCTTGTTAATAATATGTATATAGGAAAGACAGTTTGAAGCCTAATAAATATTACATGTACAAGTAGTGTTTTATTTGATCTTTAATAAATCCATAAATTCATTTATTAAACTCTTTGTAAATTCAATCAATTCATAGCTACAATGTACACGAAAATTGCTGTCATCACCGAATCTTTTTGGTAAAGCGACTTTTAAAAATCACTGTTGGCAAGTTCTTATACTTAAAATCTCCGTATCAGAGTAGAGTGATCAAAGTAGAGTGAAGCCACCGCGCATTAAAGGTCAATTAACGCTTGGACGAACACTTAATTACGACCACGCTCACCTTCGATCTTTATCTCAGCGAGCTAGGGTTAGGCTCTTTTGTTAGCAGAAAGTTTGTCACGATAATTGCCCGACGGGCAGGGTATGGAACTTTTGTTAACAGAAACCAAACAGCGTATGGATGACAATGTTATTTCCATAGTTACCGAGCCAGGCCGTCCGTACAACCCGCAGCGACCCGGAGGGTAAGTAAGGGGAGATTCCGGCGGCACTGTAGAAAGACTGGCGCGCATATAGCATGCGTGCTCAGTGAGTGAAAATTCAAGGACAGGACATTAGGGCAAATAAGTTCATATTGGGGCACGTCCGTGACGCCCTTCCTTTGTGTTATTTAGGATACAAATTGACTTGCCCGATCATTTTCCCTTTTTTTTGATACAGTTGTAGCACCCTCCAAGAAACCAACCGTATATAAGACCCCATTCCCAGAGATTAGATCGATCCAACTAGATCGACCTAGCTGCGTGGGGGTTCACGCTAAATAGCTGTCAGCCGAGCGGGCACGAAAGTTAATTACCCCCTTACAGCTTGTACGTGTAGTAGACGGGACGGGCATTTAAGCCGGATTATCTGACAGTTATCTAGTGAGACTCCCCACGGGGATAGATCGATCTAAGATATATGGGAATGCACCCTAAATGGCATGGAAGAAAAGTGAATGTCGAATAAGAGAAACAAATTATCATGTACAATTATTATGTAAAAGAAAGTATTCGGATAGCAGAGCTAGGTTTCGATCCCAGGACCTCGGGGTTATGGGTCCCGCACGATTCCACTGCGTCACTCTGCTTCTTGAAAACGTTTAGCGAGGACAAACACTGCCCTTAGGTTGATACACAAAAAATTCTCTCCATTCTGTGGACAGATATTTAAAGCTCCCCTTTGAAACTAAATAGTTTATATGCTGGGATATACGCCGTCCACAATTCAACACACTTATCTATCAGAAGTCCTCAATTTACTCAGGACAAAGAATGGATCAGCTGATGATTTCAATCCGCCATGAAACAAGATCTTTCCCAGATGAAGACAGTGTTTAAGTATTTGTCTTGTACGCAGTGAAAATATATAGACATACTTTATTAGGTATGTATGGGTTTTACGGAGGGCTGTAGGACTGGCTTCGGAATATCTGCGTGAATTCTCTCGGAAATTTCCCGTAAGCAGTCAGCACACGTTTCCTCCACCTCTACGAACCAAAGTTGAGCCGTTTCAATGGCGTCGTCGTCGTTGTCTAAGGTATCGATGTAAGCGTTGTTTGCCGTTTCGCATTCTGCCTTTAATGCAGTCACTTCTTCTTCAATCTGATATAGCCTATGAGTGATTGTCGTTTCTTCTTGAATCATCTGCCTTGCTTTTAATACTCGTTTTGTGAAAGAAGCGAGGCGTCCCGTTCTTGCGGCTTTCAATCTTCTCTCCTCCATGCCGTTGGGTGTTGATATCCAGCTCGATCTACGATCTACCGACCCACGGCTCAGCAGCTACTCGTCTCAGTGGCCAACGGCACGATCTACCGACCCACGGCTCTGCAGCTACTCGTCTCAGCGGCCCACGGCACGACCTACCGACCCACGGCTCTGCATTACTCGCCTCAGCAACCCACGGCATGATCTACCGACCCACGGCTTAGCAGTACCTCGTCTACTTTAGTGACTTAACGGTATCAATTTTTTTCATTTTTATATCTAATTTATTCAGCATTTTCTGTACAGTTTTTTTTCGTCATACTAAAATTATTATTTATTTATTTATATCCGCTCTTGTTGTTTCTTAATCTTCAAAAATATCCTCAACATCTAGAAAAAAATATAATTTACAAGGCAACTGTGACAACCAAAAAACAAAATAATACATTGGAATATCTGAATGTGGATTTAATTGAAGATACAATAACCCAATAACCATATATATATATATATATATATATATATATATATATTGAAAATCCGCTCCTCGAAAAATTATATATATAACAGCGTGCTGTACAGATCTGCTTGACAAAATGTTTAATTGGGTAACGTGAGTACGGAATGGACTGGAGACGGTTGGGTTCTCATTTATTTTTCACGAAAATATATCAGATATTTTTATACTGCCCTTGAAAGAGCAAAGAGTGAAAGATACCGTAATTTTATACACATTGGGCTGGGAAATATCTAAAAGGAGCAAAGGGCTATTGCACCAACATCTTGTTGATGATTTTACAGTTCGATTCTATTTTAATAAGCCAACTTCACATAAATAGAAGGAATTGCATAATCTAGCTATAGAAACTAGAAGGTAAACCCAGATAGTAGACACAAATAAAAATTAAGAACCTGTAAACTATGTACTTTAAATGACATCGAGGATGAATTTCATTTTATTCTTAAATGTCCTTGCTACAGAACGATTGGGCAGAAATGCATCAGAAATGTAATTATACAAAGCAAACTGGTTTCAAACAAAACAAATTGTTTCACTTAACAATGTTACACAATTAAACAACTCAGGTAAGTACTTAAGGTGTGCATCGGAGTTAAGATGAATGTCAGTCTGATGATTTTTTTTTATCATTACTATTAGTAGCTGTAGTATGTGTATTGTTGTTGTTATGACTTTATATGTTTACTGCATTTCATTTTGATGAGCCGACGGACTTAA